TAAAAGAGCTTCCTAAGGTTTTTTCCTAATTCCCCATATTCAGTTGAACTCTCTATGTAGCTCTTAGACCAACTCCGATGATATCTCATTCAAGTGTTATCAACCATCCCACCCAAGCCTCCCTAGCTACAAATACAAATCTAGGACCTTTTGCGAAAGCTAAATGATTATCTAGAGCCAATCAATTGCATGGAACACCTCTACATTACACTGTATGCCTAAAACTTAGGATTAAGGCTCTTGGTGTTGGTCTTTTGTAAAGTGAAATTGGGGCATAGAGTAATCTAGCTATAGAATAGGTTAGGTTGAGCTTCTTAGAAGTTTTAACTGATTTGGATTTTCATTTTTATGCTTGGATTGCTCTAACCAAGGGCAACTTATTATATTGTTCTCATCACCTAGTGAGTTTGGGATGAAGAACAGATGTCAATCTTTTACACGTGTTAGAAACACATGGAATATATCCATTCAGATGCAATTCCTTTCATATACCTGTGTAGAATGGTGGAACCTCTAGCATAAGCACTTAGTCGCCAGAATGTTATCACATCACAACGAAGCCCAAACTCCATTATGGAACCCAACCGGAAGTTGTCGAGTCTAAAGGCATGTATAATTAGATTTGTTTATTATATAAATTTTTTAATATATTTTAATAAATTAAAAAAAAAGTAGTAAATATAAAATTTTATAATTAAAGTATGTAAAATCTTAACAATACATAATCCATCGTAGAAAATTATAAAAATAAATCTAAAGTACAAACATGAATAAAATAAATGTTATTAAAATAGATAAAATAACTAAATATCATTAATTATAAATATGATATTAATCAAACTAGAATAAAAAAATAATTAGGACAACATCCTAAAATGAATATTAAATACATTTAATTTTTATATGGATCATGGTAAATTGTTTTGGTGCATTTGTAATTTCATAGAAAAATTAATTTAAAATTCTAATCATTAAACAATTAAAACCAATATTCAATAAATAATAACAATAACATGTTAAAACATATAAATTCACTAGAAATAAAGTTTATAATAATCCACATCAGCACAACATTTTGGATTTTGAAACTTATGTTTAAAAATAAATTGGATAATTATGAAAGTATAATCTAAATTTCTTTCTAAAATATATATAGATATAAATTAATTTATGAATGAATTGAAAGTTTAAATATTTATAAAATATATGATTTAAATAGTTAATTTTATTTCAAAAATTGTTTAAAGTTAAATGCTTAATTTTGGAGCTAGATATGATAGATTCATTCTTATCAACACATGCACCATTACATAATAATGATGGTCATAGTCACTATTAGTCTTAAATCTAGAGGCTAGAATCATTTAGTTAATTATGGTGCTAACTTAAAGGTGATATGTAAGTGTATATCAATATGAGAGTTAAACGATCAAGCCTATTAATTATTTAACTCAAACATATGAGCTTAAATAACAAATTTGGTCTTAGCAGTAAAAAAAAAATATAGATACTAAGAATGAAAGATAAAAAAATTTCTAGAGAATGAATAACTAGATACGAAGAATAAGTTTGTATACTTTCTGATTAAAATGTTTGACTATAACATCGAAACAACATCTCTCTAGGCAAATATAACATGCCAAAAATGTGGGAAGACAAACTAAACTTTGTTAGAACTCTTATGAGATAAATGTGAGGTATATTACAACAAAGAAATGTTAGTAGAAGTAGGAGATCTACTGAAACTTATGAAAAATAAAGTTATTAGACCCACCTACTAAATGTTAAGTTAAAGCTTGGATTGGTTAAAATTTATTTCTAAGATTGATGAATCTTTATAACAACTTTGGATAGTATACTTCTTAAATCAAGTATGATTTTAACAACTAGCTCAATTATAAATGAATTTTTACCTAAAATTG